ACAAGCACGGGGTAATATTGCACACCACATTTCTTTGTTTATTGTAATATTTAAATCTTTCTCCCACTTTTGTGTTGCAATAATAACCCGAGGAGCCTCCAATTTCATTATAGCATTTATTGCCTTAGAGGAAACTTTCTCTATTTTTTTGTAATTTAGAAGTGAACAGATCATTTTAGTCCCTTCCTGAGGATGTGTTATAATGTTTTGAGTTAAGTAATTTTTTACTCTCATAAATGTAAATAGTTCCTTGTTTGGCAATTGAAATTCTTGTATTAATTAACTTTTTCATTATAGTACAGATTGTCTATTTTGGATTATGTCTTTTTGGATCCAGCTTCTTATATTTAAATCTGTAAAATAATATGGAAGTAATTCCACTTTAAGATTGTTTGAGATTTTATTCTACATATTAGCTATTATTTTTATTACTTTCCAGATTTCTAGTATTGAATCTATACATAAATTAGATTGTCTAATAAGCCGAATCTTCATGTCTGTGTACCTATGCCAAAGGATAGAGCTAAGATCCTTTACTTGGCATCTCTCGCTTTCTAGGATATACCACCCTTCCCTTGTTACACTATCCAATTGGGTTCTATAGATATGAGAAAACTCATTTGCAAGATAAATATCAATGATACTTGGGAAACCCAGGCCTCCATCTTTAATTTTTTGAGCCAAGAGAGTTTTGTTAATTCTAGGTCTCTTCCAGGTGAAATTATTAATTGAATTTTGAGTCATATCCAACTATGGTCTATGGATTTTTAAAGGGATCATTCGAAACATATATGCCCATTTGGGTAAGAGATAAGCTTTAATAAGATTCATTCTTCTCCACCACGTAATTTCTATTTTTTTCCAATTTGTTCAGTGCTTTCGTCATATTTCTAAAGCAGCTTAAAAAATTTACCTGCACTAGATCTGAGGCTTTCTTTGTCAACAAAATACCTAAATATGGTGTACTTGTATTGGCCCAGTTAAAGTTATAGTTGTCCCTTATATGGTTTCTACTTGCTATGTCTAAGTTGATATCTAGAATTATAGATTTATTTTCATTTCATTTATAATTCGAGACTTTACTAAACCTCTTGACAGTTTTCATAAAAGCAGTAATAGATGTAACTGGCTTAGTTAGGGTCAGTATCAGGTCATCTGCATATAGTTTTAGTTTCAGCTCTCTCTGTTTCGTAGTGATTACTTATATTGGATAATTTGATCTTATATTTATTGCCAAAATCTCCATAGTTATAATGTATAGAATTGGAGAGAGCGGGCATCCCTGTCTTGTCCCGTTATGGAGGTTAAACCAATCAGCACATATATTGGGACCTACTGTCCTAGCCGTAGGACTAGAATACAGGGGCATTATGGCTCTATGAATCCAACCCTGATAACCAAATTTCATCAGGGATTTACTCATGAATTCCCAGTCAACCCTATCGAAGGCCTTCTCTGCATCGACAGTTAAGATTGTCATAGGGGTTTCTGTTCTATTGTCCAGCTTTTTAATGACCTCCTCCACCTCTTGTGCCGTTATCAAGGCATTAAGAGATGTTTTTTGGTTCTCTGCTATTACTAGAGCGTTAATACCATCTAAATATTTATCTATCTCCTTATCCTGAGTTGATAGGGAATATAATTCACTATAATATGAGTTAAGCATTGACCAATTGATTTAGGGGAGATATGTACCTCTGCGTTCCTCTTTATTCTAGTTATTTTATTAGAGGCAGTTTTTTTTCTCTCAGCATCTTAGTTAAAGTTTTTAACGGCTCTATTTCCTGTACTATATTCATTCAACTTCAGTTTCCCCATTGTCTTTACATTTTTCTCTATTTTTATTTGATTAATTTTATTTTTAATCTCAGCAACCGCTTCCGAATTAGCTCTCGAAGGTGTTTTCTTATTCTCCTTAGATTTTTTCTCTAATTTATCTAATAGAGGAATTAATTCTACTCTTCTGGACCTATTGAGGTACGATTCTAGACTTATTAAACTACCTCTTAACGTGGCTTTAAAGAAACACCAATTATTAGAATGTGAAGTTTCATTGGGTATATTATCTACAAAATATCTTTCTATTTTGGGATCTGAGAGCCTCTTGTTTTTTTTCATTATGGAGTAAATAGTCATTAATTATTCATGTCTTATTATTTTTAGTATTCCACTGATCTTTCATGATCCATATGTTGATACTATGGTCTGACCATGTATTATTCCTGATTTCGCTTTTCACTAAGTTTTCTAGTGCCTTTATATCCCCCCAGACCATATCGATACGCGAATATGAGTGTCTGTGTCACCAAAATCTTTCTCAGTGCGACCACAGGAAAAGTATAGATGTTGACTAGAGTATATTTAATTTTGTTTAATTTACAAATGATAATTAAAAATCTACCTTCCCTGTCCGCATATTGATAAATTAATTCAAATTTCACTGTACTTGCCATTATTATAGCCACCCCCCTTTTTTACTATCACTAAGAGAAGCCTGAAACAAGTAAGGAAATCTTTCTCCCCCCCCATTTTACATTGTCAATCAACCTCCAATGCATCTCCTGAAAAAAAACAACATTTACCTTTTGTTTAATCAAAAAGTCATACACAAGTGCTTTTTTACAATGAGAGTTCAGGCCCTAAGTGTTAACTGATATCATTTTAACCATGTTCCCCACAGAAGCCTCCCAGCATCCCCGTTGGCATGGCCATTGATTTTTTTTAAAGAGTTTTGTTATATTCAGCCCAAAACCTGTTGGAGAACATGCCCAGATTATGTGGCAATATTTACTATGGAATTAAAGGTCTACTGTCCAAAATCAATTGTGCATGTTGATTCAATGCAGCCAATGCAATAAATAAATTAATTAAATTAAAATGATTTGTTACATTAATTATCCAATTGTAACAAATCATTTTTACAAACTAGTTTAGGGGCACAGTCTTGCTTCAAGTAAAAAAAATATATATAAAAGAATTCTCATATGTTCGCATATAATTGTTTGTTTTAAAGCATAATCTGCATTGTGTATTATTCACAAAGTGAAATTTATTCCAGGCTGCCAAAAAAAATGTGAAAGCTAACACAGCAAAAGTGGTTTTACTGGATTAAATATATTTTGTTTGTTCTGTTTCTATATATTTTGGTTGCTATGATGATCTTAGCGTATTCCAAAAACCAGGCACAAGTTTCTAATATTAAATCAACTATGTCCCTAAACTACCAACAATCTTGTATACTATAGAAAAATGAGCAGATTGTCTGTATGAGTACATGCCCGTCCCGTGACTACATACATATATAAAAATCACAAAGATGGGTACGCTCACAGGTCTTGACAAACGTGGATTTTATTCCACGTTTATTTATATTTCTATATCAATCAGACCTGTTCACAGTGATACAATTAATTTCCTCCAATCCAGTAAAACAGAAAAAGAAAATTACTAGAACAGCAGAATATAGTTCATGTCGCTGTTTAGCTGGTACCGAAAGAAATTCAGGAAGGCAATTTGGGCAGCGAATGCAGCAGAACAAATGCTGTCTAAAACTGTAATGACATAGAAAAATGGCTGCAATATTTTCAGGGCTAATAGTTGCATAATATCACCTATTATTGCAATGCCAATTCGGAGATGTCAAAATTAGAATTAAGGAGCAGGAGTCATTTTAAATTGCAAAAAAGGGAATTTATCCAAAAATGAATAGAAAAAGACAATGGGTAATTGACCACCCACTCACCTCTTCCACTCTGACAAGAACAAAGCTTTCCCATACATCCCAGTCTCGTCACTCTGTTCTACAAAATCTGACCAATGTGCTGCCCTACACCATCTTCCCTCCAAGGAGGAAACCGATGTGGATTGCATGGTAGACCCTGAGGCAGGGCCAGATTAAGAGCCTGGTGCTGACAATTATGATGGGGCTAATTACAGAATCTTATCGACCAAAAACACTAATACAATCATACCTCCCAAGCATCATGTATTTGATGGAGATGGTGTTGGAGGGAAACTCATAGGATGCAGCTGTAAGAAAACACACACCCTATGCTAATCCCTCTCTAATTTATGCTTTCATCTTTCAAGTAAATCCAAATCCATAACAGCAGTGTCCAGTGAAGCAGGAAGTCAATGTGCAGGGTAAAAGAGTGTGCCATTGGCGCGAATCACGTGACCAGACCTGCCAAAAGGGGTGAACATACCCAAAAAGGGGCATGTTTGTCCAAAGAATTGGAAGGCCAGCCTGGAATTAATGCATGCCAGGCTGTCTGCCAATCATGCCGTCTGTCCAACTAAGGGCATACTATGCAGGCAGCACCCTGAACTTGACATAAATGCATCAAATGATGCGCCTACTCCACGCTTTCTAAGGACTGTATCCTAGCACTCACATGGCCACTTGTCTCCTTATCATCTTACTAGCAGGCAGAAGTTCCTGGTATATAGTCTGGGACAGAGAAAAGGTGTATGTAGTGAGTGTAGAAGAAAGGGGACATGCCACAAGTCTGCATTATCTAAACTAATTTTATTGTCAGCCAGTCCACACAGGTTTTGTTCCCATGCTTCCCTCTTAAAGGGACACTCCAGGCACCCAGACCACTTCTGCCCATTGGAGTGGTGTGGGTGCCAACTCCCACTACTCTTAACCCTGCAACTGTAATTATTGCAGTTTTCATAAACTGCAATAATTACTTTGCAGGGTTAAGTCCTCCCCTAGTGGCTGTCTACTAGACAGCCACTAGAGGGCACTTCCTGGTCCATAGCACAGGTTTTCTGTGCTATAGCGTCGCTGGACATCCTCACGCTATGTGAGGACCTCCAGCATCGCTAAAATCCCCATATGAAAGCATTGAAAAGCATTTCAATGCTTTCCTATGGAGAGGTCTAATGCACGTGCCCTATGTCTGCCCTAGTGTCCCTAGTGACACAGACACCGGGAGACTACGGGAAACTGGGAGCCATGGGGACACTAAGACACTAGGGACACTGCGACATGGGGACACAGACACTGGGAGACTAGGGGACACTGGGAGACATGGGGACACTGGGAGACATGGGGACACTGTGTCCCTAGTGTCTCTGTGTCCCAATGTCTCAGTGTCTCCCAATGTCCCTATGTCTCTCAGTGTCCCCATTTCTCCCATTGTCCCCTAGTGTCTCAGTGTCCCTGTGTTTTCCAGTGTCCCCAAGTGTCTCAGTGTCCCCAGGTCTCCCAGTACGCCCTAGTGGCTGTGTCCCCATGTGTCCCCTAGTTTCTCAGTGTCCAATGTCTCCCTGCAGCCATTCCCCCATCCCTCACTTACCTGAGCTGTAGAGCTTCTGTCTGGACTCTCTGTGCTATGTAGCTGCTCCCCTATGGATCAGTGAGTAGTAGAGAGAGGCAGGGAGGGATATGCTGTTACTTCCTATCCCTGCCTGTGTCCACACACAGTGACCCCTACTGGCTGGTGCTGGTATTGTAGAGTAATTTCCATTTATACTAAGAAAAATACAGTGGGACCTTAGTTTACGAATTTAATGCGTTCTCCGGAACGTTTCTTATTGTGAAAAATTTGCAAACCGAAACGCAGTTTCCCAAAGGAATGCATTGAAAACCAATTAATCCGTTCTGGAGGTCAGAAAAAAGTAATGGAAACAAACCCACATTGCAGAACACACAATAAAAGGCATGCAAAAGATGAAGCTTAGCTCCCTACCTTTCCACAGGTTGAGAAATGCACCAAAAAGTCCCAAAACAACTTCAAACAATTTCCAGAATGGCTCCAAAACTCGATGCAAAAGCCGTTCCAACACCTCTACACTCGACGCCACGTGCTACCCACAGGTTCCAGCATGCAGGGGGCAGTTCTTTAAACTTCCCACTTGCAATGCATCCTGGGGAAACTTGCTTTGTATTGCGAAAAAAAATTTAAACAGAGGCATTATTTTCAATAGATTTTCATTTGTAAACCTAAAATTATGTTAACCAAGGTGTTTGTAAACCGAGGTCCCACTGTACCTGCATTTGTATTGCCGGTATTACTGCAATACTGGCACTGGTCAGACAGCCTCAAATACCAGCTGTGCCAGTAAAATACCAGTCAGGTCGCAAAACCTATGAGTAGTGTGTAAAAAAAAAAAAAAATTGTAATTTTTTTTTTTTTTTTTAAATGGGCCTGGGCTTGGTCCTGGAGCTGCAGCTTTTTTTTTAATTTCATGGGCCTGGGCTTGGTCCTGGAGCTGCAGCTCCATCAGCCCCTATGTTAATTATGCCCGGCCCTGAGGGCTGGTTTAAAATGGTTAAGGATGAAATAAGCTAATCTTTTTACACTCTTTTTAACATTTATTTGCAGAATATAAACCAATGTTTTTACCTTTACAAAATTCTGTCTTAAATGGACCAATTTATAAAAGCAATTCTTATTTTCAGAGGGGACTGCAACCTGCTTCTTGACTAATACTGCTAACAATTCATCTCACAGTCAGTACTTTAAAGAAGTATGAGACAGCAGACAACTAATTATTTACTGGCAAAAAGAGCATTCTAATGAATCTAGAAAAAAAGGCCCACATGAAAATTGCAGACAGTAAAAAAAACACTTTCATTAATGCCTAAAGAAAAATGCCCACAGGGAAAATTGCCCACACTGAAAAATGCCCACATGGAAAATTGCTCATGCTGAAAAATGCTCACATGGAAAATTGGTCATGCTGAAAAATGCTCACATGGAAAATTGCTCATGCTAAAACATGCTCACATAGAAATATGCCCACACAGGATAATATGCACATATGGTAAATTTCAAGTTAAAGTGAAAATGTATGCACAATTTAAAGTACTACAGATACCATAGACACAGTTACTGTCTCTCCTCCCCAGCAAGCTACCGGCAATTATTTTTAACACTTTCGATGCCAGATGTACTTATATCTATTGTACTTTAAATTACACATACACCTTCACCTTAACTTAAAAAATACTATATGTTCATATTATTCTGTGTGGGCATTTTTCTTGTGAGCATTTATGACAAGGTTTTTTTTTTCTATGGGCAATTTTCATGTACCATCTATATTTCTGGTAACAAATGTAGCAAAAACATGGTGAGGGACCTTCAGGAATGCAGAAACAGATCATTTATACCACATATAAAGTCCTCCAAGATAAATAAAGTCCTCTGAGACACCACAGAACAAATTGCTGACATTTTCAGGGACTACTATTACAACTTATATAACTTATCTTACTCCTTTGCTCCGGCTGGTTCTCTTTACTTGTACCTAGAAAATTCTGTGAACTCCACCTTGCCTCACAATATCACAACAGCCTTAGATGAAAATTTTATCTTAGAGGAAGATCAGTCAACTGATGGACTAGCCACACACAAAAACAAACATTTTTTGGCACTTTTTTTGTGTGTGTTTTTGTATCATCCTTATAGGTATTTAATAAAGTTGTGAATTATACATTTTTAAGATTTTCTCATTCCAATGTTGGACTATTAGATAGCCACTAGAGGGACTTTCATGTTCTTAGAACAGGAAAAGTGTTTTAAGCAATGCTGGACGTCCTTCAAGCTATGTGAGGACCTTCAGCATTGCCGAAATCTCCATAGGAAAGCATTGACTAACGCTTTCCTATGGGGAGGTGTAATGCGTGCGCGGCCATTGCCGTGCATGCGCATGAGGTCTCCCCCACCGGCTGACATTGGCTGGGGAGGAGAGTAGGCAGAGAGTAGGCAGAGCCTGACCAGTGCCGAGTAACGTCGGTAAGTCACTGAAGGGGTTTTAACAACTTGGGTTGGGGGGTGGGAGGGAGAGGCGCACTACAGGGTCTTGCAGTGCCAGGAAAACTAAAATGTTTTTCTGGCACTGGAGAATCCCTTTAAGCTAGTAGTCACATTCCTTCCTCAACTCTAGCAGCTACCAAAACTCTCATTAATTTGCTTTGACATTAATGTTTTGCCATGCTTTGACCTCTTGGATACAACCTCTCCTTATTGATACACCCTGATTATGATGGCTTTGTACCAGGGCATCAAACTAAACATAACACCACCAAATTCTTTTTCATTATATATAAATAAAACTCCACTTCTCCCTTCACTCTCCTTCTCCCCATTGATGCTGAGAAAGCTTTCAACAAGGTGAACTGGTCCTTACTTTTTCATACACTCCATAGCTTGCATTTTGGCCCTAAATAGTTAAACTTGGTTCAAACATTGTGCTTCCCTCACAGCACTCATCTTTAAATAAATTGACTTTTATCCTCCAAAAAATAAATTACTAAAGGCACCCACCAGGACTGTCACTTATCTACCTTTATTATTTATTTTAAAGCTGGAATCCTTCCTATGTGTCATTATGTAGAATGATGGAATTCTGGGGGTCCGGTTTGGCTCAAGTCAGTTTAAACAGGCCGCATACGTGAATGACATTCTCTTTACTATTACCGACCATGTACATTCTCTCCCTCATTTAATGCAGGAGCTAGACATTTACTCCCACTTTTCCAACCTCAAAATTAACATTGAAGAATGTAAAATTATTGTACAGGTCATGCCACGCAACACACTTCGCATTATATCTGATGCTTATTACTTTAAAATAGCCTCTTTTTTCATCATAATTTGGGTTCTGCTTGCTCCTAAATTATAGAATTTATATACGCCCAATTATTTGGCCCTACTTAAAACACTTCATATGCATATATCCAGAAATATGATCTAATTCTTTTTTTCCTGGTTGGGGAGAGTTAATATCTTAAAGATCAATGCTCTGCCATGAATCCTTCTTAAGTTTCCATCTCCACCTATGCAAGTACCTAAGTCCTCCATTGCCTTGCTCCATAGAATCTTTATGGTGATTTTACTTACTAGAGTCTATGATTGGCTCCAAGCTTCACAACATAAACCCTGGCTAGTCCTTAAACAATCTTTTATTAAGGTTCCCCTTTCTTTTCTCCTCTGACAAACCTCAGTGGTCTCAACACTGTCATTGTCAGTCTCTAATAGTTACAACTCTGTGGACCTGGAGTCAGTATACTTTAATTTGTAATTTCCCTTGTCTGCTCTGTACCCAATTACACATAGCCCCTTTTTCCCTCAGCCATTTTCTCATTAATATTTTGTAAACCTCGCTTGTTATGGAGTTATATTCCTGTAGCCCAGGTTTTGTCTCTGGAGGACCCGATTTCACTATCTACATTATGCTCTCCTAATACTCCATCATTTCTTGACCGATTTTCAATATTGTCATTTAAAAGTTTGATCTCCCGCTCCCTCTAAAGGTAAAGTTGAAAACTCACTGTAATGATCCTTATAAAACATCTAAAATTCTCTTTAAGAACAACTCACATCCTCTTCTCCTTCCTACATACATAGGTGGAAGATCACACTCATTTGCCATCCAGGAGTCTATTTGTAGTAGGATCCCAAGAAAATTTGTGACATGGTAGCACCCTACTCCATATTGCCTACATAAATGTAACCCAATCATCTCTTATGTGTGCTAGTGATGTAATCAAACTGGACAAACAAATATGATGTGATTGTTCTTCGATCCACAATTACTGGAACCAGATTATATCATCCATTAATACAATAACTAAAATACCAAGGTTCTCACAGGAAAAATAGATTTTATTTGAATTGTTCCTCCAAAGTTTTCCCAATCTCCAAAAGTAACGAGTATCTATCTTACTGATTGTTGCCAGACTGTTAACATCAACTTTGTGGTGGCAACCCAGACCTCCTTCTTATATGGACTGATTGTCTCATGTGGGAAAATTTACCTTACGGAGGAATTGGATATAGCCCTAAATGGCTGTTGTGCTGTTGTCCTTTCCAATAGGCACCTCTAATAAGCCACTGGGTATGTAGCCAGCATTGGGATCTCCTTATCAGTCCTTTATTACATTTTAATAATTACTTTTTCATGTCTGATACACCTTTCTTCCTGTTCCTTTCCTATCAATTCCTTCCATCCCTTTTTGTTTGTCCTAATGTCTTGGTTCTTGTCTATATTTTAATTTGCTATTTTGTACTTCACTTTGTGAGGTGCCTCTCACCAGGTCTGTAACATTGGAACCAAAGTGTTTAAAAAAAGAAATGAGATCTTTTAGACCTCAAAATTAATGAGAGAAGGTCAGGTCAATGGAATCCTCACTTCTTACA